TGACCTCTAGCCAAGTTTGTGGGACGTTTTCTTAATTAACTATTGACGTGGGCCGCACTATATCTCGGCAGGTGGTCCCAGAGTTTGTAAGAAAGCAACCTCCACGAGCCAAGAGGAGTGAGCTACAAGCAGGGCTCCTCCTTGGCCTCTGCTTTGGTTTCTGCCTGCAGGTTCCAGCCTTGAGTTCCTGCCCTGATCTGCCTTTAGGATGAGCTATGATCAGGATGTAAGCAAATAAACCCTTTCCTCTCCATGCGGCTTCAGATGATGGTGCTGATCGCAGCAACAGAAGCCCTGACTGATAGAGTGCCTGATTTAAGCTCCGCCCACAGGGTCATGACCCATGCATGTAAGGAGCTTGTACAAACACCCGAGGGGCACTCACCCGTCTCTCCTCTCTCGGTTGCCTGGTCTCATATACAACGAAGCCTGGCTGGGATGTGTCTTCGAGTCTGGTTCTTTGGTACAGATAGGCAGCGTTGGCTTCCTCTTCAGTTATTTCCCAGGGGCTGATGTCCGAGAAGGTGAACTCCGCAGAGCTGATCCTTCCTGAGAACTCATCTAACTCAGAGAAGGTGTACCCCTCTTTCCCAGAAATGTCCAAGCCCCCTGCTGGGGCAGAGTCTTCCGTGGATTCCGCTGCCCCTTGAGGGCTGGCCTCTCCAGCGGATTCCAGTTCTATCTCTGGGAGGGCATCTCCGATGGATTCCAGGTTCACTTTTAAGATGGCTTTTCCAATGGCCTCCAAGTCCGCTTCTGCTATGTTCTCGAAACTGGATTCGAGGCCTGGCTCTGGTGTGGCATCTCCAGGGGATTCCACTTCCATCTCTGGGATGGCATCTCCGACGGATTCCAGGTTCACTTTTAAGATGGCTTCTCTAATGGCGTCCGTGTCCACTTCTGCTATGTTCTCGAAACTGGATTCGAGGCCTGGCTCTGGTGTGGTGTCTTCAGTGGATTCCACTTCTATCTTTGGGATGGCATCTCCAGGGGATTTCAGCTGTGTGTCTAGAATGGCTTCTCCAATGGCCTCCAGGTCCACTTCTGCTATTTTTTCGCCACTGGATTCGAGGCCTGGCTCTGGTGTGGTTTCTCCAGCGTCCGTGTCTGGGGCACCCTCTCCGATGGGTTCCCCTTCCCCTTCAGGGATGGCTTCTCTTTCAGCACTGACTGTCTCATCATCCCCCGTTTGGTCTTTGAGTCCGCCTTCACCTTCAGTTCCAGTGTCCTCTTCAGGGCCCTTGGGGGCATCTCTGTGTTCATCAGTTTCTTGGCCATTGTTTTCCATTGGTGGTAATGCCTGTCCCAGGGTGGCAAGAAACCCCAGGGAAGAAAATACAATCGTGAGATATATTAGGGTGACAGAGGGACAGACAGACACATCTACGTACATCCCCCTCCCCCCAGGCCCAAGAGATGATGCATCGGGCTTTAATGGAACCTAGTCTAGTTTCTACAGCCATGTGTTATGAGCATGAACTCTAGAATATGCAGGGAAGTCTAAAGATTGGCTGTGTCACTCTGGAATGAGGTGTGTCCTAATTATCTTTGTCAACTTGACCCAGTCTAGGGTCATCTGAGAAGGGAGTCTCTCTGACTGGCTTGTCTGGGAGAGTGTCTTGATTATGAACTGATGTGGGAGGCCCTAGCACGCTGCAGGCAGCACCGTTCCCGGGGTAAATGGTCCTGGCTTGTATAAGAAAGCTACCTGAGCATAAACTTGTGAATGACCCCACAGGCAGTGTTCCTCCACGCTTCCTGCTATTCTTCCTTGGCTGTGAGTCCCTGGCTAGTCCCCTGGCTAAAGGGGACACTATGCGGCACAGTAAGCAGGCCTGGCTCTTCTCTCAGTAAAGAGTCATGGCCTGGAAGTGTGAGCTGAATAAAGTCTTTCCTCCTCTGAGTTGCTTTTGGTCAGAGTGTTTTATCAACGCACCCAGGGCCCCGTGGGAAGGAACTGCATTTCTCTGCTCCTGAACTGAGTTTGTCAGAGTAAACCATCGTGGCAACATGGACCCTGGCAATCCTGTCAATTTGTCTCCTAGCAAACAGGAGCCCAGATTAACCCTCCAGATGAAGGTACCTCACGGCCTTCAGCATGCTGCTGTTCCTTGTCCTCTTCTGCAGAAGCTTGCTCACCTTCCAGGTGTGACCTGCTTTCAGAGACAGGAAATACTAGCTCACAGACTAGCATGTATCTCGGCTACTCGCCGGTATGACCTCCACTTCTCCTCTACCCTGCTGCCAGGGGCCACAATTTGGTATGAAAATGAATGTCAAACACAGTTATTCTTTTTTTATATTTATTTATTTGTTATGTATACAATATTCTGTCTGTGTGTGTGCCTGCAGGCCAGAAGAGGACACCAGACCACATTACAGATGGTTGTGAGCCACCATGTGGTTGCTGGGAATTGAACTCAGGACCTTTGGAAGAGCAGGTAATGCTCTTAACCTCCGAGCCATTTCTCCAGCCTCCCAAACACAGTTATTCTAACGTTAAAGAAACACCATGTGAGGGCTCCCCAGAAAAATCACCTGAGCTATTCAGTTTCTGGGGCAAGGCAGAGAAAGTCTCAGGAGAGAGGAGAACACACGGGTCTCCGCCTCAGCTTCTCAACACTGCCATGGTTTGCACCAAAATAATTTGGCTCTTCAAAAACTTACTTAGGGACAGGAGTCTGGATCTTCCAGAGCTCACATAAAAAGCCAGGCACAGTTGCTTGTGTCTGTAACACCAGAGCTAGGAGGGTTTGAGACAGGAGGATTACTGGGGCTTGCTGGTCACCAGGCTAGCTCCGGGTTCAGCAAGAGACCTTGCCCCAAGGGGATAAAGGTGGAAAGCAATAGATCACAGCACCCAGCATCCCCCTCCGACTTCTGCACACACACACACACACACACAGACACACACATATGCCAGTGAAATATCTAAGATGCAAACAAATCTAAGCAATAGATCACAGCACCCAGCATCCCCCTCCGACTTCTGCACACACACACACACACACACACAGACACACACATATGCCAGTGAAATATCTAAGATGCAAACAAATCTAAGCAATAGATCACAGCACCCAGCATCCCCCTCCGACTTCTGCACACACACACACACACACACACACACACACACATATGCCAGTGAAATATCTAAGATGCAAACAAATCTAAGCAATAGATCACAGCACCCAGCATCCCCCTCCGACTTCTGCACACACACACACACACACACAGACACACACATATGCCAGTGAAATATCTAAGATGCAAACAAATCTAAGCAATAGATCACAGCACCCAGCATCCCCCTCCGACTTCTGCACACACACACACACACACACACACACACACGCGCACCAGTGAAATATCTAAGATGCAAACTAACCTAACTTTTTAAAAAATCAAACTAATATAGATGTACGCTTTATAAACAATAAAAACGCCTGTTACTTCCTCCTCTGCTGCCCATGGCAGCCACTGTAACAGGCATTTGTGGTGCACCTGCCTTTGTTCAGAATCTTTGCACTTAAATTCTTCCTCAAATTGGAGCTCATTCTGTACCTATTGTTTCGTATTTAGCTTGATTGTGGGTTATAGTCTGGATGTATTGCCATGGAGTACCTAGAGACTTATCCTTAAAAATAGGAAAAAGACCCAGAGGCGTCTAAGCAAACAGAATTACTTAAACTCGCTTCCATTTTACACAAAGCCTAAATGAGAGCTCGCAGCATCATTTTTGGGTGCACTCAGTGCTGGCGATCTGCTTATCTCTCAAGTCCATGATGTGGTGTGTGTGTGTGTGGGGGGGGCGATCCATTCTTGCAGGAAGGAGGCATGAGTCTGGCCCAATCCCTGTCTGAGTCAGTGCTCCTCCCCTCTCCTCCCAACTCCTGCAATACGGGACAGCATCTTATCCCTGCCCTGCTTTGTAGCCTGGTTTACCAAGCACGGTGGTTGCCATGGTTACCTCAGTGTGTGCAGATCTGTATTCCAGGAGAAGCAGAGGCTAGGAGTAGGGAATGGGTTGGGGGTGGGGGCTAGGAAAGGACAAAGAACAGGAGGTGAAAGAAAGAAGGGACCTGGAAGGAGGGTGGGGCCGGAGAGGGTCGGAAAAGTCCAGAAAGTAGGGAGGAAAGTGGGAAAGGGGTGCAGAGGTGAAGGGGAAGGCGCGTGGGGTGGGGGCACCTGCTTGCAGATAGCCAGGGAAAACGTCTAGTGGCTCCATTATTCCTCTGGCCAGGCTTACCCGTCAGCCTTGTCCTCCTGCTCCGCCATCTCTCGTTGCTAGGCTACGCCATCAACATCCGGCGAAGTCTGGACCACGCGCTCAGAGACTGCAGGAGGCGGGGCCTGGCTGTGTCCTGCAGTTCTCACAGAAACACCACGCAAAGCAGTAAAGCACAAATGTGTGATTTGATAATCGCCATGTGCCCGAGCCTTTCCCGCCCGGACTTAGTTTCTGTAGAGTGATCACAGTGCTAAAGTACATCCAACTGAACACCTTCGAACCTGATGATGGTCTCCGAGGGTGGAAGACAGGGTGGGGGTTCTAGGTCCGAGAAACTCTCCTGGCTCTAGCTCTTCCACCTCCAGCCTTGGGGTACTCAGCTACCCTGACCACGGGGTCCTTTCGAGGGGTCGTTGGCAAAGGAGGGAGGCCCAGAGTCCTTTGGTGGGCATCGTTCCTCCTTACCCCCAAATTTGAGAAACAGGAAAGCAGGGGGTGAGCGCGTACGTGGGCACTGGAAAGCTCTGCCTCCCGGATCGAGGGCGCAGGGCTTCCATCCAGGGCAGCGTCCCGGGTACCCGGCGAGCGATGTGACCTGCAGATGCAGCCAGCAGGGAACCCCGAGCAGGGGCTGTCCGGTGCGCGGGGGTCGCCCCGGGGTTGGAGACTGGGCGCGGCGATCTCGGCGGCGCGGGCCTGGGCGGGTCCCGGGGCGGAGCGGGGGCGGAGTGAGGGCCGGGCCTCTCCACGTCCCCTCCCCGCCGCGCCTCGCTAGCGGCGGCGGTGGCGGTGGCGGCGGCGGTGGCGTCTCCTGGAACCGGCGCGAGTCCAGCCCCCGCGGCGGGACCCGGGTGGGTATCAGGATTCGTCTGGGAACGTGGTCCGGGGGTTTCGGGGTCCACTTGGGACGGCGTGGTGGTCCCTGGGTGCGCTGGAATCTGCACGCGCGGGACGCGGGCCTGCAGCGCGGGGGCCCGGGAGGGGCTCGGGGGATCGGTGCTGGGCGCAGGGCGGGGGCGATGCGGAGGGACCCGGATCTCGCCGGGACGCCCTGGGGACTCCATCCTTGGCGAGTGAGACTCCCTTCTCTGGGAGTGGGCCCAGAGACTCCGTCCCTGCCAGTCTGGAGCTGTTGGCCGGGGCACTTGCGGTCTTTGTCTGGCTGGCTGGTCTGAGCATGCGAAGAACTTGTGGGGTTCCGGCACTAGCTGACAGTGCCCCCAAAGTGTACCATGTCCTCCTGGGGGCCTGCGCGCTTTTACGGTTCGGAGCAGTAGGGGGGATGGCTTGAGCTATTTAAGAGCCCCAAGTAAGAGTCCTCACTTCTCTTTAGCCTGGGCTCTCTCTCTCTCCCTCTCTCCTCTCTCCCCCTCCCCCTCCCCCTCCCCCCCCCTCTCTCTGTTCTTTCCTTCAAAAGAAAGAAAAAAAATAGGATAGTAGAAAAAGAAAAAGGGCAATTTAAGATTGCTAAAAATAACCCACGGAACCCTGCCAGAACGAACGCGCGGTGAGAAGTAAAAGCCTGTTCCTCGGAAGTCGGTGTCATATGTTGGCCACAATCTAGTCCAGATTCCGTTCAGAAATAGAAGAATAGAAAAATGTCTCTTTCCTCCGTTAAAGTTTGTTTCATGAGCTCTGTCAAGTTCCTTTCTCAGGAAAGAGAGGGGAAACTCCTGTCCCGGTCCCCAAGCATATTGGTGAAAGCGTGGGTGCAAAGACCCGGAGATTAGGGGCTCCATTCTAAATCTCACTGACTGCAAGTCCTAGAAAGCCCTCCTTAGAAAAACTGACCTTAACACCGGTCGCGAATGTTGAACTTAATCGTGAGGGAACTTAGCAGACAAGGAACCGCTGAGATGCGGCCATGCCGAATTGACCTGAGTTGGTTCCCAGCTGGCTGTTGGGGATGGCTCCCTTGGGCTCAGAGTACTTACTGTTTTGTTTCTTTCTGTCCCTTACTGGTATGTAGAGCCTCAGAGTGTAACTGGGAAGTTCTTCCCTGGGAATTGTTTGCTCATGTGGCAGTTATTGGTTAGATAGCAACGCCTGGTTAGTGAATGTGTGGGTTTTTATAGTGCACAAAACAGGCTCGTGAAAGAGCTGTGGTTTCTATTTTCTTTCAAACATGTTTTTTTATTATAAATACTTACTGTGTGAGTGTATGTGGGCCTGTTTGGAGCTCAGAGGAAGCTTGTGAGAGTCAGTTTCGTCCTTACACCATGTGAGTCTGCAGGGGACACAAACTCAGGTTGTCAAGTATGGTGGCAATCGCCCTTCTCCACCAAACCGTCTTACCGAAGTTTATACCGTCCCACCGGGACTTCAAGCCTGTGCAGCTAGGAGTGACCCAGTACAGACATGGGTGCTGGACGTTCCACTTCCGAAAAGTAGAGGCACCCTGTGCCTCTCCCTGTAGTGGCCGGTCCTGCTCTTCATGGGGACAAGCTCTGCCGGTGATTCACTAATAGAAGGAAGTGGGGTGCACCCGTGTCAGCCTTGGCAGTTGGGGTGAGTTCCCTGTGGTCTGTGAAGAGAACTCTTCACTTTGGTGCGGTCAGTCTTGAGGGAACAGGCTTTGGGTTGACAGGACGTGCCTGCTACTGTCCCGGCTTTCCGCCCTCCGATTTTGGGTGACAAGGTGCAGTGATAAAGCATGATCTCTGCGCTCTGTATAGTGGCTTGGGACTGCCATCCTCGGGCTTGAGAAGGCGAGGCAGGAGAATTTCTGTGAGTTTAAGGCCAGCCTAAACTATGTAGCGAGTTCCAGGCCATCCTGGGGTACATAATAAAGTTCTGTCTCAATCATATCGAGCTAAAACAAAACAAACAAACAAAAACAAAACTCACAGCGAGCTCCAAAAGTAGACCTGGGTGCAAATATACACCAGTTCCTTGTCTTTGAGTGTCCAAAACCTCAGTGCACCACATGCCTGGCATATGTAAGTAACTTTTTGTTGCGACGGGGTCTCCTTCTGCAACTTAGGCTGATCCGGAACTCATGGTAATCCTCCTGCCTCAGCATCTTAAGTGCTGGGATTACAGATGTGTGCTGCCATCCTTGTTTGTTGACCTAAATGATTGTCCTTATCATTATTATGTCGGTCATTTAGATTTTTTGCATTTAGCAAGAATGAATTAAAAACACTGCTTTTCTTTTTTAGTGGTTTATTATTTGAGAATTCCGTATAAGCCTACTCTTCGTTTTCCTCCTCGGAGTCACCTTTTATCCCTCTCTCCAACACCTCCCCCTCCAGTTTTTCTTTTCTTCTGATAATCCGCTGAATCTAATTAGTGCAGCCCACGTGGGCAGGAGTGTGGGACCACCCAGTGCACCATGGGAAACCTACCAGTGCACACATATTCAATGATGAGTTCTCTTCCCACAGCTATCAACTGCTCCTCGGTGAGGGGTGGGGCTTGGAGAGCTCCCTCCCCCATGCTGGACAGGCCATTGGCTGGACCCCGAGCAGGTTACCTCTCTGCTGAGGGTTCGTGGGTCCGTTGGCCACGTCAGGTCCAGAGTCAGCATTTCACAGCGTTCCCGTCCTGAGCCTTGATGCGGGGGTGAGGAGTAGGGGTTGGGTGGGGTAGGGGGTGGTGGTGGGGTGGTAAACATGTCCCATTTGGGGCTAATCTCTCCGTCTCCTTATACAGCACTTTCCTTATGGGACTCTGCACTGACTGCTGCTCTCTGGAGCAGGTCCTGGGTCACATTGCGTGTGCACGTGCATACACACACACATGCACGCACCTGACATACGTGTTTTCTGTTTTGATTCCTTGTGTGGATGGTTTATTGGGTGGAAAAATTGATCTGAATCTGCATTTGGTCCCATTTACTCTTTTTCTTTTGTGGCACTAGGGTTGAACGGAGGGCCTCAAACGTGCTGGGCAAGCCGTCTGCCTCTGAGTCCTTCTGAATGTGAAGGCGACTCTTACATTCCCTGAGTAGCCATGGCAGGCCTTCGACTTGGGATCCTCCTGTCTCAGTCCTCCAGGTAGCTGAGATTACAAGCCAATAAATGCCAGGAGGCTTAGCTACACTCCAGTCTTTGTAACTTGGTGAGGACCGGGTTCCCTCACGATGCTCTGGAGAACAGGTTACCTGGCAACACAAATCCTCTCTAAGACTCTAGTTTATCACTCCCTGTGATTGCCATGTTTTTTGTCTTTCACTGGCTGGATTCTCCTCTTGTAGTAAGCTGAAGGTACAGGGGAGGGTGCTGTTGAGCCCCAGAGGCTCGTGGCTGGAGAAGCTGGTTTTATTGATGTCTGTCATCGTCTACAGCATTTGATTGCAGTTAGGCTGTCGATGCTGCTGAGATAGTGTGTGCAGAGGAAAGGAGCCGGCTCTGCGGAGTACACCTTAGCAGACACACCACAGTTATTCAGAGAGGCTGCTGGGAGTTTTCCCCCCACTCACTTCAGATGGAGGTACCTTCAGACCACCACCCACTGACCTTCCGGTTATCTTTTTTAAATTGTTGTTTGAATATGTAAGAACAGAGAGTTTCATCAGAGTTTTAGAGAAAACCCCCAGGGCTGGCGAGCTACCTAGAGAATGAAGGAGAGGGGAAAAGGCCACACCATTTAAGCCAGCACAGCAGCAGGGAACGTGTTTGACAAGCAGTTGCGTGTCGGGGAGGAAGGCTTTCGAGAAAATATAAGGAAGCCCAGATTGTTGAGAGAGGTGCCCAGAGCGCTAAGGAAAACATACTTAAGAGAAGGGCTGAAAGAGAGGCATAAAGCCAGGCTTTTCTGACAGGCTAGAAAGTGGACAGACTTAGGACACTCACGTGGCAGTGGCCCACAAGCTACTTACCACACTGAAAACATTTTTTGCCAGGCAGTGGTGGCGCACGCCTCTAATCCCAGCACTCAGGAGGCAGAGGCAGGCGGATCTCTGTGAGTTTGAAGGCCAGCCTGGTCTACAGAGCTAGTGCCAGGACAGGCTGCAAGGCTTTTGAGAAACCGTCTCAAAACACCAAAACAAACAAGCAAAAAACATTTTCTTAGCTTACATGTATTTACTCTGTGTGTATGGAATGTATGTCATGTGTGTGTGTGTGTGAGAGAGAGAGAGACAGACAGACAGACAGACAGACAGAGAGAGTGGGGGGGGAGGTACGTGGGGGGAGAGGTATTTGTGTGGGGTATTGCATGGATGGATATGTGTGTATGGAGTGTATGTGTGGGATCTGTGTGTCTGTGTGTAGGCGTATGTATATGTTCACATGTGTGTGTGGGTGTGTGTATATGTTCACATGTGTGTAGGTGTATGTATATGTTCACATGTGTGTCCGTGTGTGTGGGTGTGTGTATATGTTCACATGTGTGTAGGCGTATGTATATGTTCACATGTATGTGTAGGCGTATGTATATGTTCACATTTGTGTAGGTGTATGTATATGTTCACATGTGTGTGTCTGTGTGTGTAGGTGTGTGTATATGTTCACATGTGTGTGCCCGTGTGTGTAGGTGTATGTATATGTTCACATGTGTGTGTCTGTGTTTGTAGGTGTGTGTATATGTTGATATGTGTGTGTCTGTGTGTGTAGGTGTAGGTATATGTATGTGTGCCCGTGTTTGTAGGTGTGTGTATATGTTGATATGTGTGCAGGAGTGTGTGTAGGTGTATGTATATGTTTACATGTGTGTAGGTGTATGTGAACATGTGTATGCATGCATGGGGGGGCCAGAGGCCAGCCTCAGGAGCCATCCACCTTGTGTTTTTCAGAAGCTTTGGGGCAGGTGTGTCCCGGCTTTTACATGGGTGTTGGGGATCACACTCAGGTCCTGAGGCTCATGGGCAGACACCCTGCCTACTGAGCATCTTCCCAACCCCTCACAA